TGCATTGTCGAACGAGGTACTGACCGACGGGCGCCTGAAGGTTCTTTTCGTCGCGGAGCAAAATTAGACGGTGGCGTGCAGACCTCTTTTTCTGAAGGGGCGTCACCATCAGGGAACTGTAGACTAACCGATCTGTTTTAGGTGCAAGTTAAATGAATGTTAGTGTGGATGCCTCACCGGCGCTGCAAACTGTGGCTAACATGACGTTTGGGATAACGTTCTGACACTGCTGCTTGAGGTAGCAACCTGGACCTAGCTTGTGATAGCCAACTCCATACGTCGGACGAACAAAGACGTTTGGAATAACGCTGAAATATTGAACTCGATTGCTTCGGATAGCAACCTGGACCATGCTTGTGATAGCCAACTCCATACCAAGGAAGAAGAAAGACGTTTGGGATAACGGTGAAACATTAGGCTCCGTTGCTTGGGATAGCAACGTGGACCTGGCTTGGGATAGTCAGCTCCACACCAATGACGAACGAAGACGTTTGGTTTAACTTTGTAAGATTGAACTCGGTTGCTTGGGATAGCAACATGGACCTAGCTTGTGACAGTCCACAGCAAGGGCGAATGAAGATTTTTGTGATAATGACTCAATACTGAACTCCGTTGCACAAATAACAACACTGAAAGCGTTTGGGACAACGTAGCAACAAGGTATGGTCAACAATCTGTTCTCAATTGCTTGTGATAGCAAATTTCATCTGGTTTGTAATAACCATGGAACAGGACTGCAAGTTTGAACATGGCAGGTTAGGAAGTCGTTAAGATATATTTTTCCTTATTACCAGATAGGGATTATGTATCTCATGCGACTAGCCGTACATTTTGCTTGGGTTAGCAAATTCTATCTGGTTTGTGATAGCAATGTAGCAATATAGCATTTTCAATTTATAAAAGATAAAAATTGGTTACATCTGTGTGAGACTAGCGGTACATTTTGCTTGGGACAGCCAATTCCATCTGGTTTGTGATAGCTGTGGAACAGTATTGTAAGGATGCACATGAGAAGTTAGGAAGAAGCCGCAGTACCATTTTGCATTAACGAACGACAAAGATTAGGTACATCTATGCGGGACTACCGTTACATTTTGCTTCTGATAGCAAATTCCACGTGGTTTGTAATAACCATGGAACAGGTCTGTAATTATGAACATGTCAGGTAAGAAAACCGCCAGTGTATATCTTTTCCTTATCGCCAGGTAAAGAATAGGCACCTTATGCCAGGTTAGCGTTACATTTTGCCTGTGATAGCAAATATTTTATCTGGATTTGGAATAGCCATCGAACAGGTCAATAATATGCACATGACAGGTTACGGAACAGCTGGAGTACTATTTTTCATTAACAACATATACAAATTACATCACCACGATGATGCGGCGACCTTAGTATAATTAATGTTTACGCGTTGTTTCAAGACTGAAGTTTTGACGGCAGATCTTGTTGATGATGGTAGATGAATAAATTCTGTTCTATTCTAACCACCTAAGGTGAACCAGGTAAGGTAGCGGAAGGCATAATAGACATTGTCGCACGCAGGGACGCGTGCTTGGTCTGTGTACAGCAACATGTGAGCTGTTCATTAACTGCACGTGGCAATACTCTATCCTCTAGGTTCAAAGAGAAGGGAGAGGAGCGCATGCTGGCAGATATTCACATTAAAGCAAAGAACTCAGGAGTACTCTCACAGAGGCTGCCATTGATATCCTGTTCTTCGGTGTAGGTCTGACCAAGTAAGTCAATTCTAAATAGAGATCAGATAAACCGAGCAGCAACTAAAGGCCAAAAGGCCAGACAACGTACTCACAACTTCAACCCATTATTGCAGATGAGGTGTGTAGTTCAGAATGGACATTGACGCGTATTCATCATCAATGGCAGAGCTTTAGGAGTGGCGCTAAAGTCCTGAGCTGGACTCAAGTGGTCACTTGCCATTCAGATGACGACTGGTTCAGCACCTTGCCATAACTGAATCTCATTAGTTCATGTATGAACTACCGACCTTCGACAGTCTCTCAATTGCTTAACTGCGGCGCTATCAAGAAAAAAGTAAAGCTAACTAAAAATCAGCACCTATCCAGCTTTTTCTTGCCCCCAAGTCTAATGGGTCAATACGTTTGATTCCTTACCTCAAGAGACTTTGTCTGTTTATAGGCACAGAACACTTAAGTCAGGGGGATCAGACTTCTCGGTAGAGATACATTCTTAACGAATCTGGATTTGGAATATGCCAGAGATTCTGGTACCCGTTAGGGGAGTCATAGAATATATTTCAGATTCATATACAAGGGACAGCTCTCCAATACAATGATGTACCGTTTAGGGTAAATTGTGCCCCTCATGTGTTCACAAAGTTGATAAAACCATTTCTGGAATACCTTAAGAAAAAATTGAGCACACTCAGCCTCAGTATTAAATTGTGACAGAAAGAAAGTAACTTTACTTGAGCGGACAATGCAGACATTACTAAACCTAGGAAGAGCAATATTGGGTAGCAACCAAGACAGAGTCCGACACTTTGCGGTAAACATCGGCATCTTGGTGTCAGCTTGTTTTTCATTTCGTTACAGCCGACTATACACTAACGAGTGAAATTTCTTGCCTTGTAAAATTATCAAGGGAATTTTAACGTTATTATGCCACTAACATAATATAACTAAGGTCTACCTCGGCTGGGGCTCAAAGAAACTGGCAGAAGCAGTCAGAGGCATTGTATTATCCTATTTTTAATTATATAATTTCTCGGACTGAGACATTCGTTGGCCAGGGAAAAGTCTCTAGTTTTTGGTCACCCGAGAAGGAGATCCCGCATGCTAATCATCAAGAACCACTGATAGTTCTCTTCTGTGGTGAGTACTTTGCTACCGAATTGAGGGGCTGTCGCATATTATACTCCATCCTACATCAATAGAATGGAGAGCTTCTAATTCCACGTCTGAACCAGGTTGCGGGAAAACTATGGCAATTGTGTAACGAGAGAAATCTTACTGCCCTCGTGTCAAATATAAAATCTAAGAGTAATACTGATACAGATGAGCTTTTGCGTCAGTGGGACGTAGAAACGGAGTGGGGGCTACACCTGTCACCGTCCTGATTTTGGTTCAAGTATTCGGTGTTTCTGAAATTTCACTTCTAGAAGTAACGCAAGGATCTGATGGAGGGACCCAGGACACCGCTCCCACTAATTCTGAAGCTTACCCTGGTTATCGACATTGGAAAGCTGTCAATTCATTGAAGGTATTTTCCAGTTTCTTTTTCTTGGCCGGTATAGTAAGAACTTTTTTGCCACAAGCCTCTATACGATGGATAGGTTCATAGACATAGTACCTCGCATTCTTAGTTAGTCACGCTGTATATCCGAAACGTTGGACCGTTATATTTCTTGGCCTTAAATCGTAAGCTATTTGCATTAATTACTGATAAAGGCGCTGAGAGCGCTTTGTTTGCATTTGACACGGCGATTGTTAATATCCACAAAGTTGCTTTTCTAAGTAAAGATTCTAATAATCCATTTCTGAAAGAGGAATGAAGTGAGATTAAAACACAAAATCACATTTTTAGTCTATACCAATGATTCAATAAACTCAAAATAAATGATAAATTCGTCTTTGCTGACGATTCCACGATACATTGGCAAAACACAGATATAAATGAAATTAAGACAAAGATTGATAGTGATATAGAATCAAACTGAAAATGGTGTGGCAACAATTACTTGACGTTTAATGTTAATAAAACCAAATTTATGACATTTAAATGGTCGCTCGATAAATTCAAATAATTGATTGATACATTAACTAGACACCATCAGACTTTTGGGACTGACCATTGATCATAAATTAACTTATGTAGATAAATTGCTCACTCAACTAGCAAAGATTTCCTTTATTGTAAGAACAATTAGTTACAACCTAAGAAAAAGCACAGCCTTAAGCAGTTACTTTACCTTTATTGAAAGTAGATTGAAATACAGCGTTTCCTTTCGGTATGTCTCTTCCCAAAATTGTTTAAAACAGTGCTCATTTTAGAAACAGCAACACTTATTCTTAAAAATAAATCTAAATTTGAAGCAATATTAGATGCACACAAGCTTTCAAACTTACTATGTACTCATAGTACCTAAACCGACACTTAAAAAGGACTCAAATATTTATAATGAAAATGTACCTGAGTCTCCCTGATGCTATCACAAGAACCAACAATTTGAAGATATTCTGCCGTGAACTTGATGCTAGAGAACCAGAGACAAAACGTCATATTGAAATTATAATTGAGCCACCTTGTAGAGGAGGAAAAGTGGCAATGTTATTGTGTAGTTTATTTTGATGCCTCACTACAAATAAAGTTAGGAAAATATTAAAACGATTTTGGGAAAATTCGGTTTCTCCGTCTCTCTCGGGAAGTACTTTGAATTTCGAAACTGTCTACCGATACTCACTTATTTTTATATTTCACGTAACAAGCACAAATATTTCTGTCTGACATCCACTAGGTGGTGCTGTCAACATGGATCCGCCGATTTGCAGTTAGAAAAACTGTATAAGCCTGCATCTCCATCGCTGTGTTAAACATTTGTGGAAACAGTTGGAAGTTGTAATTTCTTATCAATGGGATTTATTTTGAAGCACCTCTACCAAGAATTATATTGTACATATTATAGGACAATGTTCTTTGAGATTAGATACCTGTCGGAGCCCTTAGAAATTTTAATGCCCCAAAACACCGTTGATTCAAGACCAGCTTATATGAAGTATTAAAAATCGTTATGGAGATAAACCTTATACTCTGCACGAAACTACTGCCCCTGGTTGGCCGCCTATGTGGTCGGAGCAACGAAAGCTATATTACTAGCTAGTGTAGGCAGTGCTAGTTTGATACATTTTCTGTTAACAAACTTCGATATACATAAGCTGCACTTGAACCATGGGCTTATTAGGGTACTATATCTAAACGTGACTCTAAGATTAAGAATATTCATTCATAATATTTCACAGCTAGAAGAGTTTTCGTTCAAAAACGCGGTGGTCAAGATTGTGATGACAGATACACTCCAGCAAATGTAGATCCTGAGACATACCAAGCCAGCACTCATTGCCTCGAATTCTCAGACATTTGGTATTCTGTTTTCTCTTTGGATCGACCTAGAATATATCACCTACTAGCTATCCAGATATTTTTTAAAATGCAAGAGAATGAAGGTATACACTTATGTCTGTGATACATCTTTTTTATTTGATCATAGGGTCAATTAGTGTAACATCTGATAAGGATAAGCTTGAGGTTAAACGTTTCCCACGTTTTCTCTACATCAACCAATGCTTCTCATCGAATGTTTGATCAAGGCACAAATTGAATATACAGCGCTAAAAAATATGAAGTAAAAAGTGTCAGACGATATTTTACTCGTTTTTAGGTTCGAATAAATGGAAAGACCTCACAAATAAAAGACCTGTTTACATGGGAACTGAAATTCCGCGCTACACAAATGAGCCAAATACCATTGCAATGAATTACGTGTCAAGGAAAATTAGCGAGAGCAGTTTTGCTTTAAATGGAAGGAATCTCAGGTAAATATGGTTGCTTAAAAAAATAGCAACGATACTCAATGCTTTCTTATGGCGGACATAGGACCTTTAATAGTCATAGTTACATGCTCAAGCGAACTTACCTGTAAGTGATGTTCGATCTTAACTATGTGGAGTCCTCGTCGAAGTAAATATTTAGAATACATATCGTAGTACCCTCGTAGTAGTACCCAACCGCCACGATTTCAAAGCGCGCACGCAGAGAAGGAAAGCGGCACCGCGCCCCTTCCCCCTACCTTTCTCCCCTCTGACCGTCAAGACGTTAATCGGCGTACCTCACTTACGTGCAGTGCAAATTGTACGCAATAAATGTGTCAACTAAATGTACATTTCCATTATAACAATTAAAGTTAAGGTTTTTGGCAACAGGTAATATCACGTACCTGGCTCAAAAATTACCATCCATTTCATGGTAATGAGCAAATAACGTAATAACATGTTTAAGGTGTGGAGACTTGGTTCACCTCAAATGCCGCTTGAGCAAAGCTATTGTTTGGCATAAGAGATTTGTGACGTATCTCAGAAAACGCACACCAGCCCGCCGCGAGCCTGAGACTACTATAATTTAGCCGGCGGAGTGGTAGACGCATTTCAAGTACTGTGGGTTGTCAATTGTGACACTCTCTGCTAAAACCGACTTCATCCATTTGTGAGCCGATGCACCATGATAAAGTTACTGTACAGTGACAAAAATACAAAAAAAAGTGGTTGCCACATGAGTGACCCCGAGACTTGAAAAACTCAGAAATCCCTATTTCAGTATTATTCAACCCAATCCGGATGTTGTCTGTTTCAATTAGTTTGCACACTCTGACCTGAGGTTAGAGCTAGCAGTGCTGCTGATTTCCTCCTCCAGATATCCGCAGAGGTTACCAGTAACCCCTTTGGTTGGTTGAGAACAACCACAGTATCTATATTTCAGATGAGATGGCCTCAGACTGTAAATGCCCTTCAAAAACCATCTTATGTCTGCATCGTTAGTAAAATTTTGGGTAAAAGACTGTGAGCTCAAATAGTTATATCTTGATCTCTTATCATCTGTAAGGTAAGAAATTTCAAGGTAGGAAACCAGACATGTATTTCTTCCCGACAAACGTCCTACCGTAATCTAAGTCCACAATACATGATGGATTATCGATGTTGAGTGGAGTGACAGCTTGCCAGTGACGTTAACCAGGGTAGGCTTCAGAATTAGTGGGAGCGGTGTCCTGGGTCCCTCCATCAGATCCTTGCATTACTTCTAGAAGTGAAATTTCAGAAACACCGAGTACTTGAGCCAAAATCAGGACGGTGACAGGTGCAGCTCCCACTCCGTTTCCACGACGCTAAAGCTCATCTGTACCACTATTACTCCTAGATTTTATATCTTACGCGAGGGCAGTAAGATTTCTCTCTTTACACAATTGCCGTAGTTTTCCCGCAACCAGGCGTGGAAACCTTAGCTCTCCATTCTATTGATGTAGAATGGGGTATAATATGCGACAGCCCATCAAGTCGATATCAAAGCATTCACCATAGAAGCAAACTACCAGTTGTTCTTGATGATTAGCATGCGGGATCTTCTCGGGTGACCAAAAACTAGAGACTTCTCTCTGGCCAACGAATGTCCCAGTCCGAGAAATTATACAACAAAAAATTAGATAACTCAATACCTCTGACCGCATCTACCAGTTTCTTTGAGCTCCAGGCGAGGTAATCCTTAAATATAATTATTATATTATGTTAGTGATACAGTAGCGTTAAAATATCCTCGAGAATTTTACAAGGCAAGAAATTTCACGCGTTAGTGTATAGTCGGCTGTAACGAAATGAAAGATAAGCTGACACCAAGATCCCGATGTTCACCGCAAAGTTTCGGACTCTGTCTTGGTTGCTGTCGATTGTTGCCCTTACTAGGTTTAGTAATGTCTGCATCGTCCGCTCAGGTAAAGTTTCTTTCTGTCACAATTTAATACTGAGCCTGAAAGTGCTCAATTTTTTCTTAAGGTGTTCCATAAATGGTTTTATTATCTCTGTGAACACATAAGGGGTATAATTTACCCTAAACGCATTGTATTGGAAGAGCTGTCCCTTGAATATGAATCCGAAATATATTCTATCACTTTGCCTAACGGCTACCAAAATCCCTGCATATTGCAAATCCATATTCGTTAAGAAAGTATCTCTACGGAGAAGTCTGATCCCAGGTCAATAGCCTAGACTTAAGTGTTATATCCCTATAAACAAACAGTCTTGAGGTAAGGAATCAAACGTGTTGACCCATCAGACTTTGGGGCAAGAAAAAGTTGGATAGGTGCTGATTTTTAGTTAGCTCAACTTTTCTACTGATAGCACCGCAGCTAAGCAATTCATAGATGGACTAATGAGATTCAGCTATGGCAAAGTGCTAAACCAGTCGCCATCTGAATGGCAAGTGACCACTTGAGTCCAACTCAGGACTTTAGCGCCACTCCTAAAGCTCTGCCATTGATGATGAATATGCGTTAATGTCACACACCTCATCTGCAATAGTGGGCTGATGTCAGTACGTTGTCTGGCCTTTTGACCTTCAGTTGTTGCTCTGTTTGTCTGATTTCTGTTTAGAATTAACTTACTGGTCAGAACTTCACCGAAGAGCAAGATATCACTAGAAGCCTCTGTCAGAGTTATTTGCTTTAATGTGAATATCTGCCAGCATGCACTCCTCTCCCTTCTTTGAACCTAGAGGATAGATTATTGCCACTTGCAGTTAATGAACAGCTCACATGTTGTTGTACACAGTCCAAGCACGCATCCCTGCGTGCGACAACTTCTATTATGGCTTCCATTACCTCAGGGTTCTCCTTAGGTGGCTAGAATAGAACAGAATTTATTCATCTATCGTCATCAACAAGATCTGCCCCCGAAACGTCAGAATTGGAACAACGCGCGAAAATTAATTATACTAAGGTCGCCGCATCGTCGTGGTGGTGTTCGAGTGCCACATATGCAAAATGATATTTAACTTCCGTTATTACTGAACATTAGAACTTTGGTGGCTTCCTAACTGGAAATGTTCATACGTAGAGTCCTGTTCCATAGTTATCACCAGCTATGTGGAATTTGCTATCACAAGCAAAATATAATGCTAGTCTACCATAGATGTAACTAATTTCTATATGTTGTTAGTGAAAAATAGTACTTCAGCTATTTCGTAACCTGTCATGTACATATTATTGACCTGCTCGATGGCTATTCCAAACCATAAGGAATTTGCTATCACAAGCAAAATGTAACGCTAGTCTCAGATAGATAAAACCTAATCTCTATCTGTTATTAACGAAAAACGGCACTTTAGTGGTTTCCTAAGCTGTCATGTGCATTCTGACAAAGATATTCCAAGGTTATTACAAACCAAATGAAATTTGGTATAACATTCAAAATGTAACGCTAACCTCGCATAAAGTGCCTATTCTTTATCTGGTGATAAGAAAAAGATATACATTGGCGGTTTTCTAACCTGACATGTTCATACTTACACACCTGTTCCACGGTTGTCACAAACCACGTAGAATTTGCAAGCAAAATGTAACGCTAGTGTCGCATAGATGTGTCTAATCTCTATCGTTCATTAATGAAAAATGGTACTTCGGCTTCTTCCTAACTTCTCATGTGCCTCCTTACAATACTGTTCCACAGCTATCACAAACCAGATGGAATTTGTCATCACAAGCAAAATGTAACGCTGACCTCTCATAACATACCTAATCTCTATCTGGTAATAAGGAAAAAATGTATCTTAACAACTTCCTAGCCTGCCATGTTCAAACTTACAGTCCTGTTCCATGGTTATCACAAACCAGATGAAATTTGGTATCACAAGGAAAAGAGAAGATATTGTTGACCATACCTTGTTGCTTCGTTGTCCCAAACGCTTTCAGTGTTGTTATTCATGCAACGAAGTTCAGTATTGAGTCATTTTTCCAAACATCTTCATTCGTCCTTGGTGTGGACTATCACAAGCTAGGTCCATGTTGCTATCCCAAGGAACCGAGTCCAATGTTACAACGCTATCCCAAATACCTTCATTCATCCTTAGTGTGGAGCTGACTATCCCAAGCCTGGTCCACGTTGCTATCCCAAGCAACCGAGTCCAATGTTTCAGCGTTATCCCAAACGTCTTTGTTCGTCCTAGGTATGAAGTTAGCTATCACAAGCTAGGTGAAGATTGCTATCCCAAGCAACAGTGTCAGAACGTTATCCCTAACGTCATGCTAGGCACAATTTGCGGCGCCGGTGAGGCATCCATACTAATATTCATTTAACTTGCATCTGAATGAGATCGGTTAGTTGACAGTTACCTGGTGACACCCCTTCAGAAAATATGGCCTGCACGCCACCTTCTAATTTTGGTCGGCGACGAAATCAATCATCAGGCGTTCGGTATCTCGTTCGACAATGCACATCTATCGGCCAACCTTCTCTCCTGTTTTCTAATTCTAAATGTTCAGCGGATCCTCGACACTGCACGTAAGTGGGGTACGCCGATTAACGTCTTGACGGTCAGAGGAGAAAGGTAGGGGGAAGGGGCGCGGTGCCGCCTTCCTTCTCTGCGTGCGCGCTTTGAAATCGTGGCGGTTGGGTATTACTACGAGGGTACTACGATATGTATTCTAAATATTGACTTCGACGAGGACGGAACATAATCATGAGCATACACATAAGCATAATCAGAATAAGAATTGCGAGCGCAGCTGAAGCGATTTCTGATGCACACCGAGGGATAATCGCAATTATTACGTTAGACGCGAAAAATGCCTTTACAGCGCATCGTGGCGGATCATCCTTCAACGACTTTAAAGCAAAGGTGTAGACAAAAACCTGATAGTTATGTTAGCTGCTTACCTGTCAGATCGTCACGTACAACTAGAAGCGGAAAATCGGCCAAAGGAAATGGAAATCAGCAGTGGTGGACCACAAGGATCTATTATGAGGCCAACCTTGTGGAATACATTATATGACGATCTGCTCAGAATTGAATTGCCAGGAGGTTTTAAAGTTATCGGCTTCGCTGATGACGTGGCATTGGTTATAACAGCGGACACTCAAGAAAGTTTAATGAGTACTACTGATAGAGCTCTTCAGAAAATAGTTGACTGGGTGAACGAAAAAAGTCTGCACCACAAAACACAAGACTGCAGAAGTGGGAGCTGCACGTTGAACAATGGCAACACCGATGACGTTTTATTAGATGGTTACGCCGCCTGCTTGCCTGGAGATCTGAAGGCATATCGAAAGAATGCTGAGGATACGCCTGGACTCAGGAATGCTAGGAACGTGCCAGGCTGCCAAGGTTTTCGTTTGTTCATACTTGTTCATAATCTGCTGAAAATGATATCTCCAATATTGACGGTATATTTCATGAACATATATTCATAAAATATCCCCAATAAGGGCAATATCTCTTCCAGCAGTTTTGCAGACAGAAAGGTTCAGAATAATAAAATATAACCTTATTATGAGGCACCGAATTTATTTAGTTTCAAAAAATATTCATATGCTGTTGACAATGGTATAAAGTTGTATACCATGAAAGTATAGATAGATTTATTACAAATTCATGTAGAGTGTTGCTATACACAAGTGTCTCACTTCATTGTACCGCTTCTTGATAATTTTGAAACAAGTCATAAAACACTAATGTAATTCATAATTCTTGGTAAATAAGCTAGTCACATATAATCAGTTTGCCCAGCTCTATGCCTTTAATTTCTTGGCTTTTCATATTTACTACACTATATAACGGTGCCAACTACAAGGATTATAAAGAGGTTGAAACCAGACATGCAATTTTAAATAATCTGCCATATACATCATGCCGATATGTTAAGTTCACAGCCTATCTGTACTACTTTATGACATGACAGAGTCTCCTGAACTTCTGCATCTCCCAAAATAGTCACAATACATCTCACGTATACCATCACAGCTACTGATGGTGTTGCTTTATCTTTTATGCTCATTTTTCACGGAATATCTCCAAAAGCATCAGCATTGATAATCTAGATATTAACCAAAACAAACGCCATATTTGATATTCTTACATTCAGATAAAGATAGAGAATTCTCGCAGGGTTGCCAGGTTTTCAGTCACGCTAGTTGCCGGGTTTTGATGAGAAAATCGCCAGAAATCGAAAGTCAAAATTAACTAGAAGTCTAACCATAAAAAGCTCCTGGTTAGATATTGGAATAGATTTATCGCCCGGGGAGGTGGAGTAGAGCCTGACCTAAGCTCCTAAGTAGCCTGCCTGTTTACGATAACTGAAGAGCGAAGTTAAGGGGGGTTAGGCATAATAATACTCCAAGAATCCATTGAAAAGCGGTGACCTTTTTTTTGAGGGGGGGCTCTCTCTCTTCTCCCGGTTATCGTACAAAAATTGAAATAGTCGTAAATCAAGCAACAATGTGTCAAAAGTGTTAGGATGGGATGTCACTGATATGCTCGGAACACGACACCCTGACATGACATTTGACCATAAGCGTCATTGTGCTGAGAGAACAGAACTTCCGCTGGTCCTCGCTTCATGTTTCACTAACCTCCACCAAAAACCAAATTTGTCTGACGGCCTCAGTTCAATGTGTTAGAGAGAGAAGTGCCTATAGACACATATGCTAGAAAGAGATAGAGGCCGGCTGGATAGCGAAGCTCATCGCCGCATTGCCTATCAACGCTGACGTGGCAATCTGCCTCGTTGCCATTATGTTACACCACTGTCTTGAATGAAGGTGCACGTTGAAAACATGTGTTAGTTTACTCTCTACGCACAAATAATGGTTTTATTTTGAGCGCACACATTTTTTAATTGTGAATTGTGTCGAATCTGTTTAGGATCGATTCCGGTTCGGCCCTAATGGTGCTGCATTTTAGGTCGGAATGAAAGGTCAGGATCGTCATAAGTTCTGTAACATTGTATCATTGGTTCGTTTGACAACACCGGACCGATTTTGATCGGTACCCATCTAGCGCACATTGGGGAGTGTTGCCCTGCCTCAAATAGGCCTCCTTTTTAGGTTTCACAGTAACCTAGCTTATTGTAGAAGCCTGGGCGAACATTTTCTGCTGTGACATTTTGACAACGCTGAAGCTTGCACGAGCTTCTGCGTCACCGTTGCTAGGCAAGGTGGTGATGACCTTCGCTCTTCAACCACCTTCTATCTCTTTCTAACATGTGTTGATACACACTTCCCGCGCTTCTCTCTCACACTATTTGAACTCAAGCAGTCAGACAAATTTGGTTTTCTTTGTAGGTATACACATATCAGCAAAATATTTGATTACAAATTAATTTGCGTCAGAAATGTTAAAAATCGCCAGATATCGCCAGTTTGCTGGATATTAGGCGCTATTAAAGTAGCCATTGCCAAGCTATTTATTTGAAGCCATCGAATTCGCGACTTTGTCGAAAAACCGTTACGCCTGGCAACCTTGAATCCTGGCAAGCAGCACGTCACGTGATACCGGTAATACAGTTACCTCGATTTTACCTGGAGAGTATGACCTTGGTGTTGCCAGATCGCCCATAAGACGTTTCATACCCCTGGTCTGCACCTTGCTTCTCGGAAAACCGAAGCTGTTCTGTCAACAAAAAAGAAGAAGGAGTTGTCTGTGGCGTTCACTGTTGACGGAACTCTAATAAGCTCGAATAGAACTATTAAGTATTTAGGAGTTTGGCAAGACACCACGCTCACGTTTGGAGAGCGCGTCAATAACGCCGGCTCCACACGTTGGCCCCAACGTTGGCCCCAACGCCACTCGCCCAACATGTGTATCTAGAAAATAGCGTTGGCCCCAACGCTGGAGAGACCGTTGGTAGTTGGCTGTCGATTGTCGGTTTTATCAAAGGAATCTGCGCCAACGTTGGCAATCCGTCCACATATTGGCTCACTGGCTCAGTCTGGTTCTAACACGCGTCGAGTGCGTATGTGGAGATATAATAATAATTAACGTCTTTTATTTGTAATATTCTTACATGAGGCGAGATTTAGATTATATATCTATTCTACCATCTAACCCCCATCAACATTATCGCTACCCGCGTGGACAAACGAAAAAGTTGTAGAATTTTTAGAGTTATACCAGGCACATCCAATAATATGGAACGCCGCTCGCAAGGATCATAAAAATAGAAATTTAGTAGCCGATGCATGGCGCAATATTCAACAGAATATGAAAATGATTTATTCTATTGGGGAATTAAAAAAGAAACGAAATTGCTCTAAGCGCTTTTACAGTACTGATGAGTGCGTACAATTTATATTTGTTATTGGAAAAAAAGAAAAAGCCACGTCAAAGGAGATGGTGGATGACAACGCATCATAAAACTAGGTACCAGTAAGTACAGACCATACACTCCATTCTAGCAGCTTTTTACAAGGCAGTTTCATATTAAATTATCTAATAATGTGTATACAGTGTGTCCAAGATAAGGATGTCTATCATCAGGATCTTGGAAAACAAAAGTGATACGAAGATGGTTAAAACAAGCCTAACAATATGCCGTTTAGAAAGCTTTAAAATTCCGAGTTATTCCGGAGGTATGCCTAAAAAATGCTATTTAATACAGGGCATACTTTTTTACGCGCCATATAAAAAATAAAGTTGATGATGGTTTCTCCGAAACGAAACGTCGTGCCGAAAATCTCTCAACGCTGTTTTGTAGAGCTTAAAAAGTAGCCATGAGAAAGTGTCTTTTGTTTTTCCATATCTCTTTAAATAACGTCAGAAAAGAATAAAAACGAAATCGCCAAATTTCGGTTTTTTAGGCATACCTCCGGAACAACTCGGAATTTTAAAACTTTCTAAACGGCATATTGTTAGGCTTGAAATTTAACCATCTTCGTATCACTTTTGTTTTCCAAGATCCTCATGATAGACATTCTTATCTTGGACACACTGTATACACATTATTAGATAATTTAATATTAAATTGCCTTGTAAACAGCTGCTATAATGGAGTGTATGGTCTGTACTTACTGGTACCGAGTTTTATGATGCGTTGTCATCCACCATCTCCTTTGACGTGGCTTTTTCTTTTTTTTTCAATAAAAAATATAAATTATACGCACTCATCAGTACTGTAAAAGCGCTTAGAGCAATTTCGGTTTCGGTGTCGGACATCTTCATATTGGCTCTGACAGAAAGGAACTAGTATAATAACCAACGTGTAGACGCTTCACCAACTTAACCGACCAACGTTGGTACCAACGTTGGGGCCAACGTGTGGAGCCGGCGTAAGACTATTGCCAAATCAGATAAAACTAGCGCATATCACGTCCTTGAAGTTAGCACCAGCTTCAGATTCGAATATGATGAAATTACAGTCGACCAGTTCAGTAGTAAGCTCAAATCGTCTATATGCTATAAAACTGGTGTTTTCAGCTACTGAGGGTTGCTTTATGTTGAATAAGGCTTTTACACAAATTATTCTAGATAATATCCCAAAATTCGATATTACCAGTTTCGGAGTGAACGGGAAAGCGAGAACAGGCGCTAGTGTGCTATCTTAATAGGAAAAATACCAAAAATGGTTTCTTATATGACTACTATTATTAGACCTAATTGTACTACCGCTGTATTACCGCATACATGTTGAGCTGGATTAGGGTTATAGACTTCGACAAACGACAAGTTTGTTTCGGGAGTACATACACGGACGTAGCTATAGCTTTGATAAGGGGGGGGGGGATCCCCAAAGTAAAAAAACAGAGCTTTAACGCCAATTGGATCTATTACTTACAGATTAAACATTGCGATTATAACACGCAAGTATAGTCGCGGGTAATCTATAATATATAACTTAGGTTACTTAGGTAGGTGCCTTTAAATAAAAAGTTTAATATGTTTAGTATGTATTGCAATATATACGTATATTCAAAAGTAACAAAGTTGAAACTTTAAAGTAATAAATTTAGTCTTTTACGTTTTATTGCTAACTGATTAATAATTTCCTTTGAATCTAGTTCCACCGCCAGATCTCGGTGTACGCTCATTAAAGCCAGACCAGTAAGTCTTTCATCGCCCATTTTATTTCTTAGGTAAGTTTTTAACCTCTTTAAGGTAGAGAAAGATCTTTCAGGGGTTACAGTGGACACTGAGAGTGTGGCTAAGATAATTAGAAGCTTTTTTATTGAAGGGAAAAACTGATCATCGCAGTTATCGATAGCGTCGAGCACAGTTGCAGGTTTTTGTGCTACAGATTTCCAGTGATTGTGCCATATCTCATATTCACTCAGAAATATTGTGCCTTCATTTTCTCCACCCAGAAATGTTTGTGCAATCTTCTCAAGATTTTCTTTTATCCTGGAATCATTACTGGTTTTTTCAGGTAACAGCATTTGAATTCCTTCGATCGTCGATTCATGTGGTTTAAAACGAGCGTCGAGTTCTGCAATAACATGATCAATGAAAGGGTAAAACACATTTCGTCGGTAGTATATTTCGGCAGTTTCTGCTGTAATATTATTGCGCAGGGTTTGCCTTCCAGTTATTCTTGGCACAGCTATATCGCCTGAACTCATCTGCAGTGCTTGCTCAAAAAGGATTGCAAACTGACTTTCGTTCCGTACATTCCGTAAAGTCGTTTTTAATGGCTTTTAATCTTTTTCTGTTCTCTTCGGCAATTTTATTGTTTTCTACATTCATGCATTCTGTAACATCAAGCGTTTTTCCTTCCATGATCCTTGCAAAATTTGCTGCCTGCTCAACAGCAAATTTGTCATACTTTGTATCTGCATGGTGATCAAAGCTCTATAAAGCTTTCTTCCAGTTAATAAATGGCTTACTAACAAAGGCTCCAAGTTCTTGATGACCACGACCGCCTTGCGTTTTTCCAAGTACAACACATACTTTGCAAAGTGCTCCCTGCATGAGGTTTGAATATACAAGCCATGAGTACCTGGTAGTCCAATGGCGTTGAAAAGAAAGTTTCTTTTTACCAGTGTCAGTGACTGGAAATTTAAATGTATCCGAAGGGATCCAAGGCTCTTTTAATGCTCTCAGCTTTTCCTCGTCATTGCTTGGAGGATGACATACGTATTTCCCAATATCATAACCCGTCCTGGCTGCGGCTGCGGACGTAGCTGAACACAAATCCATCCTGGCTGTAACAAAGAAACATTTGACAAAAACTAAAAAGTTATGTTGGGAATAAGAATTTTCAACTAAAAATTAAGTCTGCGCGAACACAGTCGCGGGTGCCACTTAGTTGTTAAATATAATTCTATTTCTTTGAGAAGGCGAAATGATTTTATGACACTTAGGTACATTCCGCATATACACTGAAATTACCATTTTTGTCAAATATTTTATGCTCACGGCAACACAATTGTTTACAAAAATTCTCTGGGAATAAAAATAAGAGCAAGATTAAAGTTTTTAGAGCGTCTATTAAATTCGAATAACTGGATTCCTTCCTAATAAAATAAATAAGAGACTTACCTTTCTTCACTTCATCGTCATCAGTATCTGTGGATGGCCCCGCTCTATTTATTCCTACTTCTTCAATTGACAAAAGTTCATTGGGCTTTGGACTCTCTTTCTTAAAAAAAAACCAAAAGAGATACCTGATTTGTTCGTTTCATAGCGACACTTTCTATATTGTATTTATAACAACTGCGCAACGCGTCAACGCAAAGAGACAGAATAGACTAGACCACTAGACTAGCTTGGTTTGGTGCGCGCCGCCGAAGCGCGGGCGACGGTGGAGGGGCAGTGCCCATTCCCCCTCACCCTGCACTACGCGGGCGTACGCATCGCGTTTTCCGATACTCGCCCTACGGACACGCTGCACAGCAACTATCGTTTTCTACAATCGGCGCGGTGCATGTAACTTTTTTCTGTTGAACAAGTAAGATGGATATGAATGGGGGGGATCCGGACCCCCAAAGCCCACCCCTTATATACGTCCGTGAGTACATATACAACTAAAACAATCGCAGAACCCAAACGAAGAATTGTGCCACCAATATACTGAAATATGTTGTAGAGACCTTATAGGAGTACATCTTTACGGCACAGCTTTGCGAACAATCAGGGGACTATAGGGTGATTCTGCGCGTACAAATCTTCACTGCTTAAAACAGAAAAAACCCAAACAAAGAATTGTGCCACCAACTGACTCATATATGTTGTAGAATCCTTATAGCTTTGGTAAAAATCAGGGCACTACAGGGCGATTCTGCGCGAACAAGTCTTCACTGGTAAAACAGAACCCAAACGAAGAATTGTGCCACCAACAGACTCATACATGCTGTAGAGACCTCATAGGAGTCCATTTTTATAGCATAGCTTTGCGAGAAATCAGGGGGCTATAGGGTGATTCTGCGCATACAAAAAAATTGCAGAACCCAAACGAAGAATTGAACCACCAACAGACTCAGATATGTTGTAGAGGCTTCACAAGTACATAGCTTTATGGCATAGCTTTGCAAAAAATCAGGGGACTATAGGGTGAGTCTGGGCATGCAAAGGTTGATTCCTCAAAACGAAAAAAAATCGCAGAAGCCAAATGAATAATTGTCTGTGTATACAAGGGTTGACCCCTTAAAACAGAAAAACATTGCAGAATCCAAACGAATAATTCTGCCATCAACAGACTCAGATATGTTGTAGAGACCTGATAGAAGTACATCCTTATAGCATAATATAAAATCAGGGGGCTACAGGGTGAATCTGGGCATACAAGGGTTGATTCCTCAAAAAGAGAAAAAATCGCAGAAACCAAACAAATAATTGTGCCACCAACAGACTCATATATGTTGTGAAGACCTCATGGAAATATGTCTTTGTGGTATGGCTTTGCGAAAAATCAGGGGACTACAGGGTGATTCTGTGCATACAAGGGTTGACCTCCTAAAACAGAAAAAACCGCAGAATACAAACCAAGAATTGTGAAACCAACAGGCTCAGATATATTGTAGAGACCTGATAGAAGTATATCCTTATAGCATAGCTTTGCAAAAAAATCAGGGGACCATAGGGTGATTCTACGCATACAAGGGTTGACCCCTTAAAACAGAGGAATATCGTAAAATCCAAACGAAGCAGTTTGCCAAATTTAGGTAAACGATAAGAGTAGTAAGCAAAAAACGGTAAGATTTTTCATGACAGTGGTCGAGAATATCAAAAAAAACTGTAAACATTTTTTTTTTAATTTTTAGTTTTTTAATATGCAACTTTTATATAGGTGACTTTTTGTATATCAACCTCTTTTGACGAGTCCTACAAGAAGTTAAAATAAACGACTCGGCTTTGAAGACGAAATATACAAAATGTACACAAAAACAAAAATTACATTAACAGATATAAAAACTAACAAGATTGTAAATATGCATTTATATAAATATAAAATCATCAACAGAATTCAGACAACAACTTCACCTTAGAGACACTCAAGCTTTTTAACCTTTCAAGACCATCCGGTAATTTATTAAAGATTCTTGGGCCCAGGATGTTATGAGACCTGCAGCCAAGTTTGTATTTAATAAAAGGTACATGTATGTAAAGCTGCTGTCCGGTATTGATACCATGTACGTCTTTATTTAGATTTAAGATTTTTTTGTTGAGAAAAGTGTAGATAGTATGTAGGTAGGTAATAAAATTACTTTCATACATCAAATGACCCTCTTTCGGCTCAAAAGCACCTTTTGAGAATTAGCTATAGAGCCCCAAAAGCATAACGTATAGCGAAAATAATACAAAATCAATAACTGGTTATCATGAAGAACTGATCTGATATACTTCAACATAAACGACACTGAATTTAGCTTCCTGCTTACATTTTTACAATGCGTTTGATAGCTAACATTATAACAATATGCTGCTATTGTTCAAGATTTATTTAGGATGATAGCTGTAATTACATTCGTTTAAAAACTACAACAATTACATAATATACAGACATTTAAAAAAACAAAATTTGCATCTCTAAGAATTTCCACTATTCTTGAAATATTCCTTTAATTTTATTTCAACCATTTTTAAATTACAAGTAGACTTTATACCATTATTTAATTCATTTAAATTCTATTAATCCTTTCTGAAATATTGATTTGCTAGTTGTAAATGGAAATCTATATTCCCTCTTGTATAATAATTGCGGTAGTATTATTCAATTCTATGTTATGGCAAGAGAAGATTTTCTATATGAAATATGAAAATGAGAACCTAATATAATACGATATTTTTTTTTATATTCAACCGCTGCAATTCATATTTAACATAGATTTTATTTTGCTGCACTTATTTTTATTCAATATACTTAGTAGCTTTATTTTGCAGGTTAATGATGCCAGATGATTCTCACAGTACCGGTATTTCCATGTATCCTGAGTTAAAGGCAGGTCCCCCTGAATATCTTGTGGTAAAGGATAATCAAATCCAAAGCAATGGAAAAACATGTAATGTAGCAGGCGTAGGATATGAAGCCTTTGCTAAACAACCCAATAAATGTGCGTCTCCAAAAGGTAAACATTTTGAACATATTTTGAGCAAAAGTAAGTGTATCTGATTGAAAAACTGATAGGTAGATATGTTTTGTTGTCTAAAAAGTACAATCATTCTTAATGATAAAACTAACTTGGAATTGTAGAACTCGCAGGTGGTATAATATGATTTAAAAATAAGTTTTCAAGTTTACGGCAAAATATTGTTAAATTGTTGATTATTTTGATATCATCTGGAAGGCACATGTCAATTTTCAGACCATTATGAGTGATTGAGTCTTTCGCAAGTTTTGATTTAGGTACTATAAGATATTGTTTTTGCTCATACCGTAACTCATATATGGTGTCTGAAGCTTATCTCAATTAAAGTATAAATATCTCAAAATAACTGCTTAGTGCTGTGTTTTTCCCTACGTTGTAATAAGTTGTTCTTATAATAAAGTAAACTTTGCTAGTCGACTGAGCGATTGATTTACATGATTAGTAAAATTTAATTTATGATAAATTTGGTATTAGTAACATTGAAAGTTATTATCACGTCATTTTTTTGATAGTATGTCACATTTCATCTATAGCTATGTCTTCCCAAAGTATTGTCGTATCAGCAGCAAAAACTTTGAATTTACCATTTATGATTAAAGATTAGAGACTATAAATCATGCATGGATGAACAAAATTATCAATACTAACTAATGCTTTAATGTAAGCTCATCAAAACAACTTGTTAGGATCATGCTTGGAGAACCAACCATTGAACCTTTTGAAGCACGACCACGATTTAGAAGCGGTAGGAAAAAAAGGTAGTTACTTTCTGAAATATTTCGGACTACTGCCTCTGAATGCAATAGTTACAAGCGCTACTACCCAGAACAAGACTCTCAGGATGTACTACGATGACAATTATATCAGTATGCTGGATGTTGAATTGAACGCTGATGAAAATGTAATGTTAAGGCGAAACTTCCTTGCTATTCTGACGGAGGTAAAAATATAGTATTGAATGTAACGTCTATTAGTTAAAAATTACGCCGACTTATCGAACATATTATTCGCCGCATTATAAGCACAGAATATTTAAACCAGAAGCTCCACTCAAGCAATTTTCAGATAAATAAGCGCTCGGCTATTGATGGTTACGTACACCGTCATTTACACCATGAAGCGGCAGTAAATCGACGCTGTTTCTGTACAGGCTTCGACATATCAGCTCTTATCAACAAGCAATGTCCGATACGCCGAGATAGTCATTTACTCGTATATTAGACCAGATCAGAGCTGCTCGCAGGAAGTTAAGATAAAATCATTAATTTGTATTGATGACTGTATATGATAGCCTCTGATAGTCAGAACTTGCTTATTGGAAATAAAGAAATAATTCAGTAAAGGTATCGACTCGCTATCGGCGGGAGTAAGCTAATTTGTACAATGCATGAGGCACAGTACATCAACAAGACTCTGTAGAAGGTGGGGGAAGTTGAGACTTTCCTTTTGACTTTCTATGCCAAACCTGGCGAGGAAGTATTGTAATCGCATAAATTTCAAAATTAAGATAATATTAATGTATTTGTTGTTAGTATATGACATATACATGACGAAAAAAGATGTCACTCATTTGCGTTGGTCTACCTGTCGGCCTGTCCGCTAATTTTCTAACCGCCTATAACTTTAGAAGTACCGCTCGGATTTTGGTGAAATTTCCACACGCGGACTTGTGTGATGCAGATATCTTTTAGTAACAGAAAACTTGTTAACCGAAGTTCGAATACTATCGCGAGCTAAATACTTTCATCGTTTAGGTATTCGCAGATTTTGAAAATTGGTTCAGAGCCGGCTAAAATAGAATCGCTAGAACATAGTGCTACAATGCTTTAGAGATTCCTGCTCATCTCCAGACAACGTTTGGAGAAGATGAAAATTGTAGATTGGAAGCTGTACGCGGTAAATGGTTGCAAATTATCGCATATTTGGTGTCAGTGAAAAACCTTCTATTATTAAGAAGCTGCTGATCTCAGTGATACTATGCACCTGTTAGACACAATGCAACCGCTCCTTTGTCCCTATGGTTTTGAGATCGTGAAACAATCTACATGCGGAGGCCTTTCCCCGTTCTATTAACGTTAGGCAGCTCAAAAATGGATTAACAAACTTAAAATTAAAATTTAAAATACATCTTCATACTATGACTCAGTGACTCAATGAGAGTGCCGACGTTCTTCCAATATGGAATATATTCATGATCCAAATGCAGTCAACATTTGTCAGTTTTCAGTTCTGCTTGATCTATCCAAATCTCCATTTTCAGGTTTACATCGAAAGTACAAACGGAAAAAGAACCAATATAATCGCGAAGGTATTTAACAATGCATTGATATCGGGGGTATATATTGTCGCCATGGCCGAATGTCCTCTAGATATGCCAGCAAGCTTCGGCAATATTGCCTCCAAGCCTGTATTGATTGGTCCACAAAAGGTGCACACCTTTCACTTGGAAGTAGACTGTCCGTTAACCAATATCGATTTCTATTGCACCTTGCAAGTTCTGAATACGGATTCACAGTTGTTGTCCTATAGAAGAATCAGGATACGTAGTGGAGACAGGTGAGTGAATTCTGGCCAAGTCAAAGCATAGCAACAACAATTATTCAGGGAAATTGACATTTATACTCGTACAGATTTCTTGAAGGCCTTCGATGAGTCACCAATGCTAAAGCCAAAACTGCAACATTTTGGCTTTAGCAATCTTTTATTTGTACTTCTTTCCATCTTACTTGCATGAGCTATGCTACAATGGTTTTAGGTCGTGACCATACTTAATTTTCTCCGGCAACGACAGGGATCAAATTTAGGTACTCTCCTCTTTCTGCATTTTATTAATAACCTTTCAAACTGTGTAATTTGTGCTCCACTGTTGTTTGTAGATGATTTTAAAATATATGCTCAGATTAACAGCATTAGTGGTTGTGCAATCTTGCAAGCTGACTGAATGATGCTCGACTAACGAATTATTTCTGAATGTTGCCAAATGAAATTTCTGTTCTTTTACCAGGAAAATGAATCCAATAACTTTTGATTATACGCAGCAAGGTTTTTACTTAATGCGTTTCTCTGAAGTGCGAGATTTTAATGTGTTGTTTGATGGTAGTTTTCTTTTCAGGACCGTCGCCAGGTCGCAACCTGGAGCGAGTGGTTCTATGAACCTCCTGATGTTCTGGAACTGCCACTATCGATATAACTCCGCCCACGCAGGCTGTCTTTTTCTTGTTGGGCATTATTCGTGCTAGCCTGGCCAACATTTTGTTTGCCTTGTTGGTTACCCTCTGTATGTGCTGCCTGAAGGTCCTCACTCTATCTATTGTAACTCCTAAGTAGACTAGTGAGTTAGAAGGGACAACCTGAGTGCCTCCAAGCATAAAGCGTACCTGATACCTATTATGTCTGGATCCTTCGACAATCACCGCCTCGGTCTTTGAAGGGGCCAGCTAGAGGTAGTGGTCTCTCATCCATCTGTTTGTTCTCCTCAGCGCTTCGTTGACTTTCCACATCAGCGAATTAGCGTATCTGGCCGTAGCTACAATGGCGAAGTCATCAGCAAAACCAAATTGCTCTATCCCTGGGGGCATCCTCTGCCTCAAGGATATTCCAAAGTAGTGGGCCAAGAGACGAGCCTTGCGGTACTCCAGTCATGATGTGGCGTTCTTCATCATCTACCACTATTCGTCTATCAAAATGATTTGAAGGATCTTGATCATGGTTTTAATGTGTTGTTTCGGGAAATTAGAGCTCAGCGTTTTCACCATCTGTGCCTAGATGGGCATCTTCCATCTCCTTCTGCTCCAACGCTTTCCTGCGACAAGGGTAAGATTGGACAAAAATCGGTGTTTTTGCAATCCGCCCTCTTGTGCCCCGTTTTTGCACAGTTCAAGCATATATTTTGCATGTCCTCGTTTTTGCATTTCTCAATTGAGTGCCCTACTTCCCAGCCCTTCTGCACTTTTCCACGAAGACTCGTTCCATTATGGAGCACATGATGAAGCCCAGTTTGATGGTGGTAGTAGTAGTAGTCGTGCAGTCGTACATTCAAAACGTGTTTAAATCACTAGGGTTTATTTATAATCGTGTTGTTGAGGAGAGAATGCAAAGTGAATAAATTAAATTTGGTCGATCCATATTAGTAGTACCTATAAGTAATATACACCCAGCATTATACTAATTGTGTTTGGCCCTCTCGATGGGTTTGTTTTTTTTTTAAGAAGAAGAAACATACCCAAATAATAAAAATAGCCCAGTGAAGCCATGGAATCGGATGAAAATGAAGAAGAGTTAGGGGTACTTAGAAGCCTATTAAAAAGGCCGAGCCAGGGATTGCAGATAGAGACAAAATCAGCTCCCTGAAAAAGAAAAACCTTGCTTTCAAAGACGATGTGATAGATATGGAAATGAGCTACACTTCTGAATTGGAAAATACCAAATCGGTCATCAATAAGCTGGAACCAAAACTTGATGACAAAGAAAAACGCATTAATGATTTGGAAGGCAAAATTGTAGATATTTCGAAAACCAATGAGGAATTGATATCCGAAATATAGAATCTAAACCAAAAAAACGATAAAGAATAGGATAGCTGGAAATTCTATAGCTGATTATAATAGAAATGAGTGTGAAGTAACGGCAATAAGTAACAAAAAAGAGTGACTGTTGGACATACAACTACTAAGGAACATTTTCATGGTAACCAAACACGAATTATTATTGTAAGAAACTGTACCCAAATCAATAAGCTTGGTTGATGATGGCGGAAACAGTTCCCAGAAAGATCAAGACATGACTTCTCTGGAAGAATCTGTGATAGCGATTCCGGAAGAGGTAGTAACGACAAGCTGCACCAGAAATATAAAGGAAAGTGTAGTGATTGTTGGTGATTCAGTAGCTATTAATGTTGCAGCATCGCTGAACCCTTATCTTGATACATACAATTTCGCAGCCTCAGGTACTGTAAAACCATTTATTGATCTCTTTGAGTTAAGCAAATCAATCCATCGAGATGCTTTTAACTGTACACAAGATAGTATAGTAGTAGTAGTAAAAACAAGCAATATATCAAACTATACACCATTAAAAGAAGCCCTGAACCATATACCCTTTGGTAAATTGACAAACTTATTATTATTAGTGAAACTAGAATTAAAGGGGCGAAATAATAGAAAGCTTCATTCAACAGCAAATCAGAACCTACTGTAACATGAATGGAAATACCTCATTTGAATTTTACTCAGTGGTATCAAAGAATCGTAAGGAGCCGTTAAATATTATCAAAAGATATGTTGACAATAAAATATCTCATCCTTCGAGAACTATATTAAAAACAGTTAAAATACCATCTTCAATAGATAGAAATATATTAATGAATAATACCAGCATGGAAACCATACAACTTCCAAAGAATAAGTTTTTTCGTAGCCAAGGAACAATTATCTAGAAGCAAAAATAGTAACAAGATCATTGTAATGCACCAGAATGTTCAGTGCATTTCAAATAAACTATTAGATTTAGAAATATTTTTGTGTAATTAGTACTGAGGTATTTTTTGTGTATCTGAACGTTGGGCTACGAAGGCTGAGAAAAATTCCTTGCAATTGTATAATTATACGTTGGCAAGTTTTTATTGCAGGACTCATTAACAGCATGCAGGTGTAGGGATTTATGTTAAAAAAGGTATTCATTTCCATAATATCTCTAGTCATCCTGTTGAAAAAGAATATGAATCTGTGATAAGCTGTTTTAAGGATCTTAAAATTACTATATTATGTGTCTATAGGAGCCCAGATGCAGATTTAAATCTATTTATAGAACAACTGAGTAAAACATTGACCGATATTAGTGATAGGCTTTGAGATTATAAGTTTTTTTTATACTCCAACTACCACGAAGGCCTAAGGCCATGGGGTCCCGTGGGGGATACAGGGAAAGAGGGGGAACGCCACACGGACGCTGGTGAGGGGACACGTGTGCATGCAACATGCACACATTCTGGCCCCGCCCATGAGATCCGCCGGGTGGTACCTCTGCGTTCGACAGTCAGAGACTGTCTACCACCTACGGACAATCACAACATCCATAGCCAAGAGAAAAATTTATCTTGGGATGGGATTCGAACCCGCACAGCGCACGGCGACTGGTCAGGAGACCGAAGAGTCTACTACTGCGGCCACCGCTGCTGCCTAGGTTGATTTTGTCTGGAGATTTTGATGTAAATTTTTTTAAACCTAGTTATAATTTGGACATGTTGTTAGATTTACTGTGCTCTTGCAGAATTCAGACAACAATAGATCAACCGACGAGGAATGTGAGTTACCTAGACAATATCTGTGTGAACTTTGACAGAGTTATATCAAAGCTCTGTTATCAATGGAAATGTCAATGACCATCTATCTCAATTGTAAATCTTAACATCAAACATACACAAAACAATAAAGTATTATCGGAATATAGGCAGCTAAATAATATCAATAATATTATCAGATCCGCAAAGGAGAAAACTGGGTATCCTTGTATAATACTGATGGTGACGTACATGAAGAATATAGTATATTTAACGGTGTATTAAATTACTACTTTGAGATATCTTTCCCAGTTAAAAAGGTGTAATAATAGCAGATTAAGAACAAAACCATGGTCATGCAAAGGGCTCCTAGTATGTGGACAAAGGCTAAAGAATCTGTATCACTGTATTGTTAACAATGAAACCAGAATGTGTTATGATATGTACGAGAGGATATACAGAAAACTTTTAACGGCAGCAAAAAAAATAACAATAGACATAACTATGAATGCAAACAATAAATCTCGCAATTTAGAAAATAATTAAGCCAGATAAGAAAAACAATAAATCTATGATCTACCAATAAACAAAGATGACTGTATACTGCTAAACAAGTTTGATGAACATTTTGAGAAAAAAACAGCTTCGAGGGAACTTAAGACCTATTTTAGTTCTTCTCGATGTAAACAATTCCAGAAGCTTTTTCCTACGTCCAGCTATGGAGAATGATGTCCACATAATAACACATGTGAAAAATTCTACCTCATTAGGAAATGATGGTTTTAGTACTAACTTGCTAAAAAAATGTAGTGAATCCATTATAGAGCCACTTATATACTTAGTGAATCTGTCAATACAATCAGGTGAATTTCCAGATGTCCTTAAAATTTCTAAGATGATACTTGTTTTGAAATCAGGAGACCCAACTAACATAAAAAATTATAGGTCTATATATCACTTAAGCCCATTCGCAAAAGTAACTGAAAAACATGTAGCAATCTGCTAAACAGAGTTTTCTCAGCCCCAAAATTTATTTAACAGCAAACAGTTTGGATTTCTCAAGGGCTTATGCACAACAGACGCTATAACAGCGTTCGTCGACAGGTAGCCGGAAATTTCTCTCGTTAAAACTTAAGATCATGCTATGTGATACTTTAGTATTATCTTTATTCAACTACGCTGATGTGCTTTACGGCCCACACTTAACTAACCTGTATCGACGTAAAGTTCAACTGGTTCAAAACTCATGCTTGCGCCTTGCATTTGGTATACAGAGGAGACATAGAATATCTCACAAATTGAAAGGAGCAGGTTGGTTAAATGTGGAAAATCGTAGGCTCCTCCACTCTGCTGTTTTTTATCATAAATTAATTTTAGTCAGAACACCACAATATCTTTATCAAAAAATAACCTACCGGACTGACGTTCATAACATTAACGTAAGAAGTAAGGGTCTTATTTCGCCACCCAAGTTTAGAACGTCAATCTTCAAACGGAGCTTCACATACCAAATATATAAAGTCTACAACTCAGTCCGGAAGGAACTAAAATTTTCTAGAATAGATAACTTCAAAGCCATGTTTAAAAAGGAACTGCTGAAAAAACAGTAGCACCGCATAAATTAATGAATGATTGTTTTTTTTGGGTTAGCGTGTAGGTATGTCCCTCTTTTATAGTGACATGTATGTATTATCGGTTTATCGGATGTCATATGTCGTAGAGGATACTGGGCTAAGTGGAAGAGCAGGTTGTTGGTACTGTGTACTAATCAAACTGAACTTCGCCTTTTATTGACACTGGATGTAATTATGTTCACTTACCATTTTGTCAATGTCTTATGTCAATAATAAAGACGGTTATTATTATTATTATTATATACAATTGCATTGATGAAGGAAGCAAGTCTCTTGGGATATTCATAGACTTGAGTAAAGCTTTTGACCTAGTAGATCACGAGTTAACGCTAGGCAGCAGCGGTGGCCGCAGTAGTAGACTCTTCGGTCTCCTGATCAGTCGCCGTGCGCTGTGCGGGTTCGAGTCCCGTCCCAGAAGAAATTTTTCTCTTGGCTATGGATGTTGTGATTGTCCGTAGATGGTAGATGGTCTTTGACTGTCGAACGCGGAGGTACCACCCGGCGGTTCTCGTAGGCGGACCTAGAATGTGTGCATGTTGCATGCACACATGTTCCCTCGCCAGAGTCCGTGTGGCGTCCCCCTTTCCCATGTATCCCCCTATATCCCCACGGTACCCAATGGGTGCTTAGGCCTTAGGCCTTCGTGGTAGTTGGAGTATAAAAAAAATATATCACTGTATTAGAGGACTGCCACTCCACTGGTTCAAAAGCTACTTGGCCAACAGGCATCAATATATTCATCTAAATGACAGTCAGTCCAATCTACTTAGGTACACAATCGGTGTACCACAAGGATCAATACTGGGTCCACTGCTGTATATCATGTATGTAAATTATTTCAAAAGCACTTGCCATATTATGTATGCCGATGATACATCCATCCTCATCAAATCTCCCTCTGTCTCTGGTCTAATAAGATCTGCCAGTGATGAGTTTGAAAGAGTATATGACTGGTTCAGGGTTAATGGTCTCATATTGAATAGGGAAAAATCACTGTTTTTGCCCTTTTCCTATTCGACGGGCTATGGCAACAGCAATAGATAAAATCGAGGGCAGGGTCCATCAAACAAGACGATGATGTAAAATTCCTTGGCATACATTTAACAAATAACTTAAAATGGGGACTGCATATAGACGATATATGCAAGAAAATACGACCTCTTTTTTATTGTATGAACCAGCTGAAATCTGTTTGTGGATAGATCCGTGGACATTGTATATGTTATTACTATTCTTACTTTCAGAGCACCATTTCTTATGGAATAATAACCTGGGGTGCATCCAGTTATATAAACAGGATATTTGTAATCCAGAAACGAGATATTATGATGATAGTTTCTGCAAGTAGTAGAACACCTTATAGAGACATTTTCAGTAAATTAAAGATACTCACCCTGCCTTGCCTCTACATATTTCAATTTTTACTATATATTAAGAATAACTACAGTAGCTTTGATGTACTCAATGTACACAGCTGGTACAATACACGGAATTTCTCAGTCTTACAAATTCCGACACATAGGCTATCAATAACTGAAAGCAGCCCCAACTACATGGGGAAAAGGAATTTAATAAACTACCAAATTGCATAAGACAATCAAATTCCCATGAATTTAAAAGAACTGTCAAACAGTTACTTCTTAGTGAAGCTTATTACTCAGTCAACGAGTACCTCTGTGATAATACAATTTATTTCTATTTTAAAGTTTTACTATTGTATGTATTGATTCTTTTACTTGTAATTTTTAAATTCTGTTATTATATATTTTTCGTGACCAAGTACATATTATATTGTGCTGCTTACATTTATAAATGTATTTATATTTGTTTAGTTTCTTAAATCTTATGTGTCTACTTGTGCATATTTATATTACTTGTGATTTTTTAATCTAAAATGAGAGTTGATTAGTTTGTATACTGCTAGTATGTGACCGTGTACATACTATATTTTGTATTCTTCAATGTAGGTGTTTACGCACATCTTGCATATTTGTTTGCAACATTGAATCCAACGTCTCATGTAACTGTCGTTTACAGCTTTGACGTCTTCTATGTCATAAATGATGATCTTTGAGTAAAGACTATTATTATTATTTTCATCATTATTATTATTATTATTATTATTATTATTATTATTATCATCATCATCATTATTATTTCTTTTAAATTTCTCAGCTCTTGATTGTTGGTGGCTGGATTACTTTCTTCGTCAAAACCGGGGTATGCCTTACCCCTTAGGTTAGACGTTACGTTATGACCTTTCTGATAATGTAGGCTGTACCGAATATTCCCACAGTTTGAAGTTGGTAAGGGTTTAAGGTACCTGAGATAGCCTTTACATGTGCGTCAAAATTCTTGTTCCTGTGGAACCTATTATAATTGGTACTATGTGCGTACGCATTTGCCACATTCCGTTTATCTCAATAGACAAATCCCGGTACTTTAGAAACTTTTCAGCCTCTTTGTCTTCCACGTTGTAATCTGATGGTACTGCAACATCAATTATAGTGCATAGCTTACTTTTAAGGTCTTTGATAACGATGTCCGGTTTGTTAGCAGCAATTGTTCGGTCTGTTATTATAGGCTGATCAAAAAGAATGGTGACATTAGTTGCAGTTACAACCTGCTGTGGTTCATGCTCATACCAGCGCTGTTTCACGTTATTATCGAAATCTTTGCAGATTGAGTGGTGCAAGATCTTGGCAACTCTATCGTGTCGTGTAACGTATTCGCTCTGAGCGAGGATAGGGCATGAAGACATTACGTGAGATATGGTTTCATCGTTCTCTTTGCATATCCTACATTTGGGATTCTTGTTCCTTCTCAGTATCCGGTTTGAATGGTAGTTGGTGTTTATGGCTTGATCTTGTGTTATGAGACTTTCTGTTTCACCTTGTACGTTTGCTCTTTTGAGCCATCTAACTGTGTCTTCTTAGCTGATGTTGTGGTTTTGAAGTACTCGGATAACATATTGTCCATGCAGGGCCTTCCCTTGCCATTTCTCCCTCAGTGCCGACTGGATACATATTTTGTAGGTCACCTTTCTTTTCTGCAAGTCTGGCGCGTACAGATAACTGGCGACGGAATTTTGTTGCAGTTTGTATAAGGGACTTAGTTACTGGCAGAGAGAAATCGTAATTTCGGGCAATTATCATCGTTCTGTCTGGACTGTTTTCACAGTAGTCGCTTATCCTGAGTATTGCAGACTTGTAGGCTGCCTCCACTTGCTGTAGTCCCCTGCCTCCCTCTTTCCTGGAAACGTAAAGCCTGTCGGTGTCGGCGCGAGGATGTAGCATGCCATATAATGTTAGCAGTTTACGCGTTTTTCGGTCTATCGCTTTTATTTCTTCCAGTCGCCAATCGATTACGCCAAAACTATAAACAACGACTGGCAATGCAAATTGACCTAGCGCGTGGATCTTATTTCTGCTGTACAGATGACTATTGAGTAGCAGCCTGAGTCTTCTAACGTATTCCTTCTTGACCTTCTGTTTGATTAGGTTATGATTTATCCGTTCTCCTTCATCAATACCTAAATATTTATTAGTATCAGCATCTTCAATTTGATAGAACTGTGTCTCTTCCATGTGGTTCTTCATTGCAGCTTTCCTTTCCTGAATATAGCCTGCGCGCACTTATCCAGCCCAACCTCCATATGGATATCATCGCTGAATCTTTTAACTGTGTTGATTTGTTCTTCTAGATCTGTCTCAGTTTTTCCAATCTGTTTCAGATCATCCATATAGACAAGGTGGTTGACTTTGGAACCATTTAAAATGTAGCCAGCTCTCATTCTATTCAGTTCAGCAGACAAAGGAATGAGTGAGATACAGAAAAGGAGAGGTGACAGGGCGTCCCCTTGGAAGATATTAATTTTTGATGTGACGATCTCAGTACTTTGACCTTTTAGATGAACCGTTGTGTTCCAGGAAATCATCATTCGATTGCAAAGCTCAATGATTTTGTCGTTCACACCGACAAGTTGCAGACTTTTTAGAATCCAGGAGTGGGGAACTGAATCAAAAGCTTTCTTGTAGTCGATCCAGGCTAAAGTTAGATTTCGTTTACGTCTTCTACAGTCGTCTAAGGTATACTTTGAAAGCATGAGTTGGTCTTGGCATCCCTTAGATAATTTACAGCATCCTTTCTGTTCCGGCGGCAGAATGATGTTTTGCTCGATGTGGGCATAGATTCCTTGGTAGAGAATTGAAGTAAAATTCTTATAGATTGATGGTAGGCATGTTATCGGTCTATAGTTTCTTTCCACAGCTGTGTCTTGATTTTTGGGTATCAGTGTGGTTTTTCCTGTGGCTAGCCAGCTAGGAAAGTATTCTGAGTTGATCAATTCATTGTATAGGCAAGCTAAATATCTATACGTTGCTTTCAGGGATTTGTACCAAAAATTGGGTACCCTATCATGACCAGGAGCTTTCCACTTGGCAGCTGATTGAAAACCTTCTGTGACTTCTATTTGGTCTATTTCGCACCATGTCATGCTGTAGTTGTTTTCGCTTTCAAACCTGCCTATCCATTCTGCTGTTTCGTAATGTGATGGTTAATGTTCCCACAGAGCTTTCCAAAAATGCTGGACACGGTCCTTTGACGGAAGCTGCACCAGCTCTATTTGTTCTTGTGTTATATTTCTGTAGAAACCCTTAGTATCCGTTTCAAACCTCATATTTGCGGAATACTGTTGTTGACGTTCTGTGTATCTTCGCAGTCTTTGTGCCTTTGCAGAGATCTTTTGTTTAAGCTCCCCTTTCTCTGTCTCCAGGTCTTCTATGCTCTGGATTTTGTATGCTCTGATCAAACTGTTCATTTTGCGATTACGGACATTTGTTACACATCCCAGTTCCGAAAGCCGAGACAGGTCCTTCCTTAAGTTCTGGATGTTAGCTTTTATCCTGTCTTTCCATCCCTTACCGTTGTTTGATTCCCTATTCTTGCTGTGACATAAATATGCGTATTCAACTCAGATAGACTCAAACGGTGTTTACTCAAGAATCTTTCTAGGAATTCATTGTATTTCGTTATCTCTGCCTTCAATTTTTGGTCCAACCTTAGCTTATTGGGTCTTTGTTTCATAGTCGTGCTATCCTTCAAAAGCAACTCGTACTCTCTTAAGACCTGTTCATATTCGCGGCTGCATTGTGCTCCGCATTTGTTATCTGTGGTCCTTCATCTAAAGCGTTGCCCTGCCTCTGCTGACCTTTTATACTTCTTTTGATGCTGTCAATTTCGGTGGAGATACTTTGCTAGTCTTGATACAGTAGTTCACTTGATTTAGAAGCTTTTTCGCATCGATATGAGGCCCCACATTAGGGTTGCGGTTTCTCCAGAGGTGGTATACTTCTTTATAGTTTGCATGGGATGTTTGATGGCAATACAGGTGGCACCACATCACCTCCCTTATTATTATTATTATTTTTTTTATAGCCATAGGGCTTTGTTACTCCCGTTAATCGGGGTGTTCTGGCTTAACCCGGACGTTTCAAGCATCAAAGGGATGTCTCAATAGTGACCTCACAAGGTACTTGCGTTTCCCATAAATTTTCTTACTATGCGGGCAGTTGTCATTCTGTATGATTTTGTAAATGTTTTCACTCAGTTCCAGCGCTTTGATGTTTTTTAGCAGGCTTCTTGGTATCACCCCTGTAGATGACATTATTATTGGTATTGTCTCCACGTACTTCATTTTCATTTTTGTATGTTAAATTGTTACTATTAGGTATGGCCACATCAATCAGTGTTACTTTCTGGGCGCCCTTGTCGACAATGATTATGTCAGGTCTGTTTTGTTTTATGTATTAGTCCGTAAGCACAGTGCGATCCCATTATAGTTTATACTTGTCGTTCTCGAAGACACATTGCGATGTATATTTATAGTACTGTAGCTTGCATTCGATCAGTTTGAATTTGTATGCCAACTCCTGGTGAATGAATTTCGCAGCTATGTCGTGGCGCTCTTTATAGTCCGTTGGAGCGAATGCTTGGCATCCACCAGTTACGTGCTGTATTGTTTCGGAGTCCTGACAGCCGTACCTGCATTTATCAGACTGTTGCAAGTTCTTAAGTATGAACCTCTTGTAATTGTTGGTAGGGATGACCTGGTCCTGTATAGCTACAAGGAATCCCTCAGTCTCAAGGAACATTTGGCCGCAAATATTTGCAATTCGACGGATGAGTGAATATTTGGATAAACGTCATCTAAAAACAGTTTACTTCAGTCTGATCCACAGTCAGTTGTCGTATGGTGCCTTTCTTTGAGGAATGCTTCTGGATCTTTCAGAGCGTTCACCCTCCGAAAAGCAGCTGTTCGCATAGTTCATGGTTCAAAGTACGGCACACCATGCCAACCACTTTTTAGGAAACACCGAATTTTACCACCATAAAGCATTTTTATATATGAAACACTTTTACACATTCATAAGAGCCTGCATAAATATGTAACGCATTCCGATGTTCATGATCATGACACCAGGTCAGCAAATAATCTCGTAGTGCCTTTTTCTAGAGTACGTTTATCCAAGTTGAACAAGCCGGATGTCACATTGTATTTGTGAACTGTTATACAAAACACTATGTGAAAAATATGAATGTCTACAAATTTACTAGACTACTGAAGAACCTTGTCATAGACAAGTGTTTTTACAGTGTCGATGAATATATTAATTATGTATCTATACTTATAAGGCAAAAGTCTGTTACTTCAAATGTACAATAATGTATGTAATGTAGTCAATAAACTAAACTAAACTATTATTTATTATTATTACTATTATTATTATTACTATTATTATTATCATTATCATTATCAATATTAGTATCATCATCATCGTCATCAATCATCATCATCGCCATCATTCATCATCATCGTCATCAATCATCATCATCGTCATCAACCATCATTAACGTCATCAATCATCATCATCGTCATCAATCATCATCATCGTCATCAATCATCATCATCGTCATCAATCATCATCATCGTCATCAATCATTATCATCGTCATCAATCTTCATCATCGTCATCAATCATCATCATCATCATCAGTCATCGTCATCGTCATCAATCATCCTCATCGTCATCAATCATCATCATCGTCATCAATCATCACCATCATCATCACCATCAATCATCAGCATCATCATCAATCATCATCACCGTCATAAATCATGATCATCGTCATGAATCATCATCATCACCCACATCAATCATCATCATCATCGTCATCAATCATCATCGTCATCATCGTCATCAATCATCATCATCATCGTCATCAATCATCATCGTTATCATCGTCATCAATCATCATCATCATCGTCATCAATCATCTTCATCATCGTCATCAAGCATCATCATCATCGTGATCAATCATCATCATCATCGTCATCAATCATCGTCATCGTTATCAATCATCATCATCATCATCGTCATCAATCATCGTCATCGTCATCAATCATCATCATCATCATCATCATCATCGCCACCAATCATCATCATCATCGTCATCAATCATCATCATCATCGTCATCAATCATCATCATCATCGTCATCAATCATCATCATCATCGTCATCAATCATCATCATCATCGTCATCAATCGTCATCAGCATCATCGTCATCAATCGTCATCACCATCATCGTCATCAATCATCATCATCATCATCGTCATCAATCATCATCATCATCGTCATCAATCATCATCATCATCGTCATCAATCATCATCAACGTCATCAATCATCATCATCGTCATCAACCATCATCGTCATCATCGTCATCAATCATCATCATCGTCAAAAATCATCATCGTCATCAATCATCATCATCATCGTCATCAATCATCATCATCATCGTCATCAATCATCATCGTCATCATCATCATCGTCATCAGTCATCATCATCATCATCGTCATCAATCATCATCATCATCGTCATCAATCATCATCATCATCGTCATCAATCATCATCATCATCATCATCAATCATCATCATCGTCACCAATCATCATCATCATCGTCATCAATCATCATCATCGTCACCAATCATCATCATCATCGTCATCAATCATCATCGTCATCGTCATCAATCATCATCACCATCGTCATCAATCATCATCATCATCGTCATCAATCATCATCATTATCGTCATCAATCATCATCATCATCGTCATCAATCATCATCATCATCGTCACCAATCATCATCATTATCGTCATCAATCATCATCATCATCATCATCATCATCATCATCATCATCATCATCATCGTCATCAGTCATCAGCATCATCGTCATCAATCATCATCATCATCGTCATCATCATCATCATTATCGTCATTAATCATCATCATCATCGTCATCAATCATCATCATCATCGTCATCAATCATCATCATCATCGTCATCAATCATCATCATCATCGTCATCAACCTTCATCATCATCATCATCGTCATCAACCATCATCATCGCCACCATCAATCATCATCATCATCGTGATCAGTCATTAACATGAATCACCATTATCATCGTCATCATCAATCACCATCATCATCGTCGCCATCAATCATGATCATCATCGTCATCATCAATCATCGTTATTATCGTCATCATCAATCATCATCATCGTCATCATCAATCATCCTCATCATCAATCATCATCATCATCGTCATCAATCATCATCATTATCGTCATCAATCATCATCATCATCATCATCATCAGTCATCAGCATCATCGTCATCAATCATCATCATCATCGTCATCATCATCATCATCATTATCGTCATCAATCATCATCATCATCGTCATCAACCTTCATCATCATCATCATCGTCATCAACCATCATCATTGCCACCATCAATCATCATCATCATCGTGATCAGTCATTAACATGAATCACCATTATCATCGTCATCATCAATCACCATCATCATCGTCGCCATCAATCATGATCATCATCGTCATCATCAATCATCGTTATCATCGTCATCATCAATCATCATCATCGTCACCAGCAACCATCATCATCATCATCATCAATGATCATCATCATTACCATCATCAAACATCATCGTCATCATCAGTCATCAGAATCGTCATCATCAATTTATCATCATCATCATCATCAATCATCATCATCAATCATCATCATCAATCATCATCATCAATCATCATCATCAATCATCATCATCAATCATCATCATCATCATCGTCATCAATCATCATCATCGACATCAATTATCATCATCATCGTCATCAATCATCATCGTCATCGTCATCAATCATCATCATCATCGTCATCAATCATCATCATCGTCGTCATCAGTCATCAACATCATCGTCATCAATCATCATCATAATCAATCATCATCATCATCGTCATCAGTCATCAACATCATCGTCATCAATCATCATCATCATCATCGTCATCAATCATCATCATCGTCACCAATTATCATCATCATCAATCATCATCATCGTCGTCAATCATTA